CTGGTCTACATAGTGAGTTCCAGGACAGCTGGGGCTACAGGGAGACCCTGTCTCAAAAAGACCACCCCCCCAAAAAAATCAAAGGCATGACATTGTTCATTCAATTATAAAAAAGCAAGATTTTTGAGTGTGCAAAATGGTAAGAAGTGATGAACTTCCAAGAACTAGAGCCAAAGGCTTATCATGAAGACAAATTTACTCTCATTAAAGACAGGAGGTCAGACACTTGTCAGTCCTGAAAGCTTGGTGTGGGTCAAGATGAAGAAAGCATGCTGCTTTTAGGATGCATTCAAGAGAGGCCAATGTGTATGATGTGTACAAGAACACAGGACACCAATCCCAGAAGCACGCATGAGGACCTGGTATGAATGCTGGTTGTGTAAAAGGGCCTGACCAGAGTCCAAGGTGACATGGACACCCAAGGCAGATAAGAATTCTGAAGACTGGAGACTAAGTTCTGCAACCCTTGAATGTATGCATGTTTACTAATTCTGTTGCCAAAAATGTTGAATCACTTTCTCAAAACCTGGCTCCTCATAAGGAGGGTTTTTGGTATGCCTGAGGAAATAAAACCTGAGATGAGAACACATCCATACTGTTGTCTCATTTTATACCCCAAAGGAATCAGCATGAGAAAGTTCATTCAAAGAATCCCAGCACACTAGCCAGTGAATGTTACACAACTCAGCAAATGTGCTAGGCTCACTTTAGAACCCGTTAGCCACTGAATATGCCTCCCCTCTCACTCTGAGATAGTCTTTCTCATGTTCTGAAATTCACTATGTAGTTGAAGATGACCTTGAACTCCTTGATCCTCCTGCCTTCATTTTCCAAGTGCTAGGGTTATAGGTATATGTTACCATCCCCAGCAATTTCCTTTTATTTATTTTTCTTGGTGGAAGGGAGGTCCAGTTTTGTGTGCTTGTGTGTGTTTATGTTTATATGTGTGAATTTGGAGGTATGAGGTCAATTCTAGGTGACCTTCCTCAGGCGCCATCAGCCTTGTTTTATGAGACAGTATCGCTCACTGGCCCGGATTTTGCTGATTTCTAGGCTGATTAGGTAAGGCTGGCTACCAGCAAGCCCAGGAACCCACCTGTTTCTGTCTCCCCAGTGCTGGGCTAATAGGTGTGTGCCACCATGCCACAGCCTTTTTACTTGGGTTCTGGGAATCAAACTTGTGCAGTAAATTTACTGACTGAGCTATCACCCTAATCCCCAATTATCTTTTAATTTGGTCTGTGTTTTGACACAGGGTCTCATCATGTAGCTTAGGCTGGTCTTGAACCTCCTGAGTGCTGAGTAAGGATAAATAAATCATTTAGCCTGGCAATGGTTCATGAGTTTTGAAAGGTCTGGAAAATATTTTTCAATGATCTCATTTAGATTTGCAGAACACTCACTCACTCACTCACTCACTCACTCACTCACTCACTCACTCACTCATACTCTGGCTTAATGAACACTGTGCTCATTTAAACCTTTGGCCTGACTCTACAGGGTGCCAAGAGGTGGTTCAGAGTATAGGGCAGATTGAAGCAGGAGAGCATGGGGCGCCTGCACACCCACCTTGACCGCCGCACTGTCCGGTAGGCACTGGGCAGGGAGTGCTTTGCTTTTGAGTGAGATCTAGACCTGGACTTGGATGACGAATGGTACTTGGGGGAGCGTGACCTAGTTCGAGACCGTTTTTTGTGCTTCTTTCTTTTCTTTTCTTTCTCCTCTTCTCTTGGTGGATCTCTGCTTCTGCTTGAAGGCCTGTCTGGTGGTCTCACCTCTAATGTGGGCAGAGTTCTGCCTCCAGCCAGCAGAGGACAGGGCATGGCACTGGCTTCCTGGGAACACAAGTAAATGCGTAGTTATCAACAAGGGAAATATGACATTTAAAAAATGCAGAATACTAAGTTCAACACGGAGTCTCTGACACCAACAGTAAATATACCTACCCTGTCTGAGGAAGGACCACCTCCCTTTCTATGACTATCTATAAAACTTTTCCTGCTGGAGGTCAGGGAGAGGAGGGTTAGTTTATAACTGTAATTCCAGCACTCGGGAGTCTGAGGTAGGAGAAATGCTTTGAGTTTGAGGCCAGGTTGGGCTACAGAGTTAATTCTAGGCTAGTGTGGACAAGAGTGAGATCCTGTCTGAAAAGACAAAACAAACGTCTCTGGCCTTTCAGGGGAAAATGACACTCCTCAGACACTGAAGTAGATGAACACTCTTTACCACTTCTCTTCCTGCAAGGCTGCATGTGAGGTTAGCAAAGGAAGCACAGTACCAAAGACACTGTTTACTCTTTAATACGCTCCAGAGAAATGTAACAGAGAGTCCACAAACTTCCAATAGTTGGTTTTATGAATCTGAAAATATATTTTTTATAATTTTGTGCCTGGAGGATCTAGCAGTATGGTTTATGGAAAAAGTTAAGGAAGATACTCTTGGAGGCACTCCCACACTGCCTCAGATGTCTGGGATCACCTGGGATGGGATGGAGACAGAGGTGGTGTGTACGTCAACGTGTAAACCTGCAGCTATGCCCGTAAACTTCAAGTAGTCTTTCTTCTTTCCTTTCATCCTATCTTGGGTCCACTCTGACAGGCAGCTACCCTTCCAAAACTACCCTTCCAAAACTAGCCCACTACCTCTTGAGATGAAAAGCAGCTGAGATAGGTAGGGTTCTGAAGTCAGATGGCTACTTGTGGTTGCCAAACATAGGAGAGGGATTTCTCAGTATCTCCCTGAGCTCCCTGCTGTCTAGGCCACCATGCTCAACTATATAGAGGCTTATCTTTGTCTCAAAAAAAAAAAAAAAAAAAGAGCCTGTAGCCCCAGTTAGCCTGGAACTTGCCATGTAGACCAGACTGGCCTCAATCTCTGAGATTTGCTTTCCTCTGCCTCCAGAATGGTGGGATTAAGTGTGCGCTACCACAGGCTTATTGTTTTTGTGCAATATTCTTATTTACCTTATAGATGGCTTAAAAATTTAGTACACCTTTTTTTTTTTTTTGTTTTTTTTGAAGCAGGGTCTCCCTGTAGCCCCACCTGTCCTGGAACTCACTATGGAGACCATGCTGGCCTTGAACTCACAGAGATCTGCCTGCCTCTGCCTCCCAAGTGCTGCGATTAAAGATGTATGCCACCACACCTGGCATTACTATACCTTTCTATGTCAATAAGCATATCTTAGGATATCAGCTGTGTTTAATAGAGGCGTGAGGCTTTTTACATTGAAACACAACTTCCATGCAGGGCAGATCAAAATGTTTGTAGGGCTAGCAAGATGGCTCAGTGGCTTGTAAAGGAACCTTCCCAGGACTCATATGTTGTCCTCTGACCTCTTACATGCACACACACCCATATAGACACAGATATATACACAATGTCCTGTGCATACACAAATTGTAAATTCTAGCTATTTGAGAGGCTGAGGCAAGAGGACTAAATCTGAAGCCAGGCTATACAACTTAAAGAGACTGTCTAAAATAAAATAAAATAATAAAATAAAATGACCATGGATATAGCTCAGTGGCACAATACATGAATGTCCAATTGAGTTCAATCCCCAGCAATACCCCCTCCCCCAACAGTGTTACCTGGTGGCACACAACCATAATTACAGCACTTTGGAGGCAAAGGTAGGAAGATTACAAGATGGAGACAAGTCCAGGCTAAAGTGGGTTCAAGTCAGCTTGATCTACGTAGTAAAAATATTAAAACAACCAACCAACCAACCAAGGGCTGGGGTACCTGTAGCTCAGTTAAAAAGCACTTGCCTAAATATTTGGTTTAGGCAAGGCCTGGGTTCCATCCCCAACATCATAAACAGACAGAAACACACACACACACACACACACACACACACACACACACAGACACACACACACGTGAGAACAATTAGTTTCTAACAAAACCTGGTAGAGACAAAGCCAGATTGGTAGAAGATAGGCGAAGACTTTAAAAGCAGCTGCAGGGGCAAACCCACAAGTGCAGGAAACATGGGACAGAGTATTTGGTGTCACTTACAACTGTAAATCAGAGCAGATATCACTTCTCACGGGCCAGCTCGACAGCAGATGTACGAAAACTAGTTTGGAAGGGACAGGATAAAGCTGTTTTCATCTTAGTGAGGCAAGCAACCACCAAAATCTTTTCAGATTTTGGCAGTGTATCAGATTAAAAAAGGAATTCCATGGCTAGTGAGTGATCCACTCCCAGAAGCACACAAGACACAAGACACAGACAAGATTCTAGCTGTGCGTTCACAGTAGGAAGACCCTGGAAACCTGGCATTTTCAACAGTGGGGTAGAGTTAACATAGGAGGCCACCAGGGCAGATCAATTACTGATAAGTATTTTCAGAGCACCAAACACTACTTTTAGCACCGAAATGGAAGTGTTCCCCACTGCACATTAA